CCGGGTGCCGCGGGCACGGGACGCGGTGTTATTAAAATTCACTCCCCTAGCGCGGCTGAAGTGGCCTCTGGCAATCTGCATCTCATTCCCGGTGGGCCCTTGTGCCATCAGGTGGCTGGCAGCCACCACCGGCAGGCAGCGCGCGACGGAAAAGGGTGGAAAACTTGAGCGTCACGACGCGCCGAGGGGCGCCCGTGTTTTCGCGGCGGGACACTGACGTCGCGGCCGGTTTGCCGAACAAAAAAACAATCTTATACCCAATTACACGCGGCATTTAACTAAATAAGAACTTGCCGCGCGTCTTTTCTCTCGCTCTCACGGTCTCCCTTTCAACGTAGCTCTGTACGGAATCTAGTAATTTTTTTTTTTTTTTATTAGATTGCGTCTGCGGTGATGAACTTGTTAGTCGGTTGAAAGACGTTTAATTTTATTGGAATGCGTAAATTTTGTTATTGCTGTTGCACGAATATGTACAAGCGGTGTGATACGATGCAATAACTTTTAAGAAAGAAACGCTACAACACTTTACGCGAGAGAAATGATTTTTTATAATATTTCATTACGTATTTTGCGAATTTTCTCTCGATCTCGCTTTAATCGTTCCGAGTTCCTACGGGATGCATTAACGGCATTTCGATCGCGTTCGAACGTGACGTTCCTTTTCGTAGGTTCTCCATCAATCGGCTTTTGCGGGAGTCGGGCACCAAAAGTACGGCGGGCATAATCAATCACGAAGCGTTTTCGGCCGCAATACGCGGCCGAGGAGAGGAGCGGTAGACGACAGTTCGCATAGTTCCGAAACGGAAACGGTAATATCGCTGGCCCGGGGCGACCAACCCTTTGTCATTTTGTCATCCGGCTCGTAAGAATGAGAGGCACGAGAGTCGGCGGGAAAGAGAGACAGAGAGATACTGCTGCCGCTGCGGCGTGTCGCATCGCTCTGTGTGTCTGTCGTTGAAAAAAGAAATTAACGCTTGAGATATTAAAACGCGCTTGAGAACAGAAGTCTGTCGTCGCGCACCGCTCTCTCGGCCGACATTGATATCGTTTCCGTTATCAGTACATGCACGATAATACACTCGCTCTGCGAAGGATATGTCGTTACATAAATGAAGAGCGACTTCGGATTCTTAACGAAACACTGAATTAATTTGAACTGAATTAACTTCAATTACTTAAGTTTTATATTTTTACTTTATTATTTCCATCTTGATGTCGAGAGATGGCCGATTTCTTGGTGCTCTTAATTGAATCGGATTTTTCTTTTACGTATGTCGTTTTGCTTCCGTTGTGATTATTAATTTCCGCTGAGCTGAATGAAGAAACGAGTACGACGTAAATTAGAAAGCTCATTCGAAGACGAAATAGTGCGAAAGATGACAATCTGGCTATTCGTTTCATGCTGTAAAAGAAAGTAAAATTATGAACTAATGTAATGTCTTGAGATTATCTTCAGTGACAAACACATCATCTACGATACATAGAACAACTTATACTATTCGCTAAGCCGTTGTTTCACTATTAAGTATGCGATTCAGTGGATAAAACGTGAGAAAATAGCGTGCATTTGGAACTTGAGCGAGAAATATCGGCGATCGATCCTCCGACAAGTAGCGATTTACACGAGTCGAAGAAATGGGGCAAGTCGAATTCAATTAAGCAAGCGCGCGCGAGAATTCGTCACTTCATAAATTCGCGCGCGTATATGTATGTGGCACGCGGAGTATATAACGGGCTATTAAGTCCCGATCTCGGGAAGACATTAATTTCACGGCCGCGCATAACTTTCCTGTCACAATTTGCATTCGGCCTGGGCCTCTGCCTGGAGTGCGCGGCGGGAAATTAAAAACGTCCGATCGTAAAGCCTCGAAAAAGAGGTGAAATATCACCGCCCTCGCATTCTGAATCGTAATCAGCCGTATTACTCGCCGGCGGGAGCTCTGCGTCTCGTTCGACTTCTTCGCGGCGCAACGAATTTTCCTTGCAATCGGAAATTTCGCAGCGTTTAAAATGCATCGCGATAATTATCGGTTGAGTTCAATATTTATCAGAGATAAATTGTGTCGAAGAATCATCTACGGTGTCTCGACGCGTCGAGATGCATTTGTGTATCTCCGCACAATCACTCGGGAAGCGAGACCAATCATCGCGGTTGACAATAGCCCGACCATCTTTATTTTTATCCATGCCTAATATATTTCTCCGATATTCGCAAGCTCCCTCTCGCCGTCCGCTGAGACAAAAAGTCCGCGGAGGATCGCCATTCAGCGAAAGCGCAAGGAATAAAGACTTAAGCGACCGTTCCGTCCTCCAGCGATCCTCGCGCGAACGTGAAGGGGAAACCGGGGGAGAGATTTCCAGGAGGGTTACTTTCGCTCACCGTAATTCCCACCGGTGGAAGGCGAGTCCGAGAGAGCCGCCGCCGCCGCCGCGCGAGAGTATCGCCATAAGCGAGCGAGAACGGCAGCAGAGCATTTTTCGTCGTTTCGTCGAGGATCGCGAATAAAGGAGCGGGCTAACGAAAAAGCAACGGGATGAGAAGTAAGAGGAGGGGAAGAGTGGCGATATAATGTACCACGTAAGAGCCATTAGGTTATTAAAAACAGTGGTCGCGAATAATGAACCCGCTGGTGGCCACCGAGGGGCGCGACAAAGGCGGAAAATTAGCCCTGATAACTTCACGTTTGAATGCGGAGGAGGAGGAGGAGGAGGACGAAAGGAGGGATAACGAAGCGCGCTGGTAATCTCGACTCGTCTCTTCCTGTGATGACGGGGTTGTTCCCGTTCGTTCGCTCGTTCATTCATTCGTTCATTCGTTCGTTCGTTCGTTCGTTCGTTCGTTCGTTCCTTCGTTCGCCGCGTCCTTTGCTCTGTGTTTATGAAGACGTTACGACGAAGATGTTTTCTCAGGCGTGACGCTCGCGCGATTTTCCGCAGTGGAAAGCGATACCCTCTATATTAGTCTCGATGATCTTCGGTTTTCTCCCATAAAGAATGAGAGGATGAGAAAGGAAAACTCAAACAAGGAATAAAAATGTGTATATGCGATGCACATACATATTAAAATAGTTTGTTTTAATTAATTTATTTGGGAAAAATTTTTGATTCGATTATTCTTGCTTGACTGATCATCTACATACGTCTATCTTTGTGATATAAAAATATTGCACATATATTCAATTATTTTTAATCATTTTGATGTTGACTTTCTCAATATTTAACTCTAAATTTGTCGATTAAGCGATCAAATTACTGCAATTATTAAATATAACTTAAAGCTAAAATCAAAGCACAAATCGCAAAGATTGATATGTCTTATCAGTTATGCAATCGCAGTTTTGACTTTTTCCCAAA